CTTCATCCTGTCGGGGGTGGGGGGGGGTGTTGTTAACAGTTATCATTTGAATTTCCAAAAGAACTATCCTTTTTTCTGATCTGCCTGATCAATTTTCATGGTCTCCTTTTGCCTGAAAATTTAGGGTTCCATTTTTTGTGTTTATACATTTCAAGCATAGTTACTTTAAATTAGGTATCTGTAATCCTTTTACTATCCTGTTTCCTTTGTGTTTAGTGTCTTTGGTATTGCGTTCACATGTGGTCAATCTTTGTGGAATGATTTCCTTGCAAGGACATGCCAGGAGCCTAGGAGGCTCTACAAAGACAGGGCTCATGTCCCCTTCCCATCCTGATTGCTTGATTGGGGGGGAGTCACTCGAGGTTCTCTCTCCCACCTTATTATGACCACCTTGTTTGTCATGCCACCAAAGGTGTTTGCCCCTTAGGGTGGTGCTTACTTATAGGCATTTAGCTCTCAGTGCTCACTGTTCTGGTGTCTGAATTCCTGGGGCCTCGGGGAGGGGGAGAGAGGGTAGGCTGGGAGATTGGGCCGTCGGTACGATAACAAGTACGTTTTGTGGAGAAGCCCTGCACATGTCTGTCCACCATATTGCGGGACAGTATGGTTAGCAGAGTGTGTGGAAGCCATGCCCAGGCTGGTGCTCCCCTGGGAGGAGCGTGGCACACAGTCATCACATGGTAAACTCCAAGCCAGAGCCAGGGAAGCAGTCAGCTGAGGGCCAGAAGTAAGGGATGCAGAGAACCCTGCAGAGCAGGGAGTTCGGTAAACAATGCTGTAACTAATGAGATGGCCGTGGGAAGAGAGGAGAAGGTGGTATCTGGGTGATTTTGAAGGGTTATGGCAGTTTGGTTTCATGCATGGTAATTTGATGTGAGGACAAAATATTTAAAGAGTATCTGTGGGCATTTTTTAAATTCCACAAATTATTAGATCTGGGGGTCAGAGCTACAGATCTGAGAATTATCCACATGTATCAAAAATGACTGTCTATGTTTCGGAAGGAAATGAACCCTCAGAAGTGGCGAGGGGTTGGGGAAGCCATGAACTAAACCTGGGGTATATATTCACTGGTGGTTGGCAAAGGAGGGCTGGGGAGGAGGAGAAGAAGCTGTGATTTATAAGCTAGAAAGAAAATCCTGAGCCTGGCAAAGCAATGGCCAGCGTGCTGAGCTGCAGCCCCCCCTTCCCCTAGGGCAGACATTGCTAGTTGGGCATAGCACTCATTCTTCAGAAGCCTGACACCAGCCTTGGGACCCTCCACGCAGAGGCCTGGCTGCTGCTCAAAGCCATCTGTTACAAAAAAGTTGAAAAACTGTCCTGCGTCCCTCCCGTAGCGAGTAGAAAGGGCCTACAGGTCATCTCTGAGAAGCTGAATTTCCTCCAGGCTCCCTCTGAAGAAGACACACAACAGGGGATTAACTTCTCAAGGGTATGACGTCCCAAAGTTGGTTGTTCATCTGCAGATAGCTCCGACAGGGAGAGAATCTTCTGCAAGTACAAACAGGAATGTTGGGTGGTATAGAATACGCTAGAAAAGGAAACTTGTGTCCAGTATAAGTAGCTGGAGAAGACAAGTGGTGGGATTGACTTTGGAAGTGATGGAAAAGCCCCAGAGGAGATGTAGCAAGAGTTCCATTTGGATATTTGCAAGAAATGAAGTCCGACGTTCCTGTAACTGCTTAACTATGTTTATTCCCACAAGTAGATTTGGCATACACAGGTAAGTTCTGTTTACATAATTAATGGGACAAAGCCAGACTCTACTCCAGCAGTTGAATCTGAAAGTCTGGTCTTTGCACGAGCTATGACGAGTGTTTCAGTGGAGAACTCTCCATAACAGCTAGAACAAAACAAAAAGTATTAGTGTCCCTGTGCCACAGACCCCATCAGTGTGTGCCCCTGCACCACAGACCCCCATCAGTGTTCTCACTGCTTTGTGCTGAATCATCTGAGGTTATGCGTGCACTGGTGCCCCCTAGATGATGTCTCCTGTGTGCCTGAACCCTTGCCCCCCTCGCGGAGCCTGGCAGTCACACACCCGAGCTGTCATCAGTGGAAAGCAAGCTCAGTTCTTTTCCTTAGTTCCAGGGGAGGTAGCCAGTGATTCTGGCTAGAAAGCTTTGTGGCAGACCAGTGATGCATAAATTTAACTGAGAAACTAGTGGTTATAATATTTTTTCCCCTGATAGGTTCAAAAAGTCCTGATCAGGGGGAACTTTTGTGGTGCATTTGAATTTCACAGATTAAGACAAGTGTGAGCCTATTGGGTAGATGTAATCAACAGTTATCACATTGCACCGTGAATTAGCAATTTTTTTCCCAGTGGCCTGACTATGACTTAAGTTGTTCTTTCTTATCTCGCCTACCAGTTCACTGGGGTGGTTTTGCATAAAGTACATGAATTCAGGGTACTATCTTACAGAATTCAGTATAGAAGAGATTGTAATTTATAGTGTTAGGACATTAAACCCTGTGGATCAAGAAGCTAGACCTTTAAGAATCCACAGATGTAGTATCTCAGCCAATAATTGCAAGGTACAGTTGTGGGTCAGTCATGGGAGACCTATTTGAAAGTCACAGTGAGGTTTTGGGTTTGTTTTTGTTGTTGTTGTTCTTTTAAGATTTTAGTTACTCATTTAGAGAGAGGGAGAGGCAGAGAGAGAATCCCAAACAGACTCCACACTGAGCCAGGCCTGACATGGGACTCGATCCCAGGACCCCGAGATCATGACCCCAGCCCAAATGAAGAGTTGGACACTCAGCCGACTGAGCCACCCAGGCGCCCCCACAGCTAGTTTTTAAGATGAAAATCCCAACAAGGCCGTAAGTGTCCAAGGGCATCTGGGGTGGAGGGGGAACAGACCCCCTGCCTTCCTCCCCCTCCACCCTGTTCCATAGCAGATCAGTTCTCTCTTCTGTGTAAGCACAGGGGTCATTTGTTCTCCAGCTCAAGAGCACGGTAGATGGGGGTAGAATTTCTGATGCCCCCTCACTTCTGAACTCTTAATCACCATCTCTCCAGAACTCAAGTCATAGAGAGTTAGCAAGTGTGGCATGCTCACCTACCCCACAGGCAAGCATAAGACACCCCCCCACCCAGACCCCTGCGTCCTGCGATGCCTTCCAGAGGCCCTGCCCTTGCCCTTGCCCCGGAAGGGGCATACCCTTCAGCCCTTTCCCCGAGCTCTGCCAGTCTTCTCCACAGGAAGCCCAGCTTTTGGCCCCTTTTGGTGGGAGGGCCTTCAGTTCAGCCAGGGCCATGCCTGACCTGCACTTGGCACCTGCATCCCACAGTGCACTGCATCACAGAAGCTTTGAACAATGCCAGGATTGTCATAGACCTTTGAGAAGCCGGTGGGAGCACTGGACCCTCTTGTCAGACAGATGTCAGTCGCGTTACCTGAGACCAGGTGCATTTATAGAAGGCCTTCAGCAGTGGTTTGGCCTGTGGACATACCCACCTGCTCTCCTTCCAGTGCTATTCAGAGTTGGTTCCAGCTCCCCGGGGGACTAAGTTCTAAAATAGTGACTTTACATGGAGCACAATACCGTTATCTTCAGAATGTGTATAGATGCTGTGTAAATGTGGCGTAGCCTTGTTTCCAAGGCAGTTCGAGCTCCTTTAGGGAAGTGGTTGCCCAGAGCTGGCTGTGCATTAAGAACATTCCGGTTCCTGGGATCGGATGGGAGGGGTCCGTCCACCACAGTGGCCGAGGCTGCTCCTCTCCTGAGACAGGGAAGCAGGGAAGGATATGATGTGCAGGATATCCTCCTCGTCTCAGGGCTGAGGGATTCCAGGGAGGCAGGGCTCTGGGAGAACAGCCTCGAGAAGGGCAGGACTGACCTGCGCAGCAGGGAACTGGGCAAAGGTCAGGGGCTGGAGGTCAGGGGCTGGGAGGGCTGCTCCGGAGCCGAGAGTGTGGAAGATCGGGGCTTGGTGTGGTGGATGTGCCTACATGCAGGTGACAGTGGCCACCTAGGCAGTGGTCTGCTCGGCAGGTCTCAGTGGTTCTCCGTATGACTAACAGCTGCTTACCGGGCGATTGTAACGCAGCTGCTTCACAGTCCAGTGCCTGCAAACTACAGCTCAAATGAGACGTCGTGACTAAAACTCGAGCTCGAGATCTCTCCGTGGTTGTTGGTAACTCATCATGCTGCTTTTATGTGGTGCCCCTTCCGTCTCCGTGGCAGTAGCAGGGCTAGACAGGAAAAGAGACTCTCCCGTGGCCCAGGCTGTCAGCCTCAATGGCACATGTCACTGAGCCAATATGTAACACTGTGGAGCGGGCGGCCTTTCCCCCCAGGTTAAGGGTATGGAAGTGAGCCTCGGAGGAGTCAAGAATCTGTCCACAGAGCCCACCATGGCAAGTGGTAGAGCATGATTTGATTGCAGGTCCCACCCTTCCCTATGCAGATGGTCACCCCCGTCGTAGCCGTGATGTCGCCTCAAATCACCTGGAGTCCCACTCACTTTCCAGGCGGAAGACAATGGAATGAAAGCCTTCCTCACTGAAACGGGTCTCCTGCCGATAAAGAGCAGAAACCCCCAGTGTCCCCGTTTGCCGTTGGTCAGTCTGTGGATCTTCACGCAGGTGCCTGAGAGAAATCAAGACTCTACCCTGAGATTAATGCCATTAACTGAATTTTCACCCCCACAGATCTCTCAATGGCGCAGTGAGTGACCGTGTTATTTTCCTGAGTGGCTTACTCTGTGCCCAACACAGAGACACGGACATCACACACTGATTTTCATTTTTCCTCATCCCCCGAGCACTGATTGAAACCCAGCTAAACCATGCTGGCTTTAGGAACCAAATCTTGCGTGTTTGGAGGTCTGTGGATTCAGATCTCCGCTGTGTAGTCGGGCCGTCCTGTGTGTGCCGCCAGCCCCATGCAGGCGCGATTGAACCCAAAGGCACTTTTATGACCGAGGACGGGCAGAGGGGCTGCGATCTCATGAAAGCTAAACTCTTCATCCCCACCACTCTGTGTTTCAGAACAAGAAGAAAACTTTGAGTTTATCATTGTGTCCCTCACTGGCCAGACGTGGCACTTTGAAGCCACCACATATGAAGAGCGAGATGCGTGGGTCCAAGCCATCGAGAGCCAGATCCTAGCCAGCTTACAGTCATGTGAGAGCAGCAAGAATAAGGTAAGACCCTTAGCAGGCTGCCCCCCGAAATCAAGAGCCACTGATCGTTAAAGGGAAGTGGAGGCCCAGAGGAATGCCCAAGGGAGGGGAAGCATCATATGATGTGTGTGACTGACAGAAGCCACTTATTCTTCCGGAGTGAAAAGCTAAATAATTGAAAAGAATGAAAAAACACTTTGTGTCGATACGTATCAAGTATGAGTATCCTAGCCTAACCATGTTCCTGTGACAGAACATCCCATTTTACATCTTGACTCTCTCAACTAATCCCAAAAAGAAAGCATTGACCTTTTTGTGGTGGGTGATGAGATCTTTTAAACTCTTGTGGCTTATGCATTGACATTTACTTTGTTTTAGGCAGAATACACTCAGGAGAGGAGAGGGAGACTTAAAAGATGCACTGTTCTCTTCTCACAAATGCACAAAATTCAAACCCATGTCAAGTTAGAACACTGACTCTTGCTACGGAAGTAAAGGAAAACAAAAGGTGCATAGATGAGTCTGTAGGGCATCAGGCGGGAGGTGGGGGGTGGTGGACAGCGTCCATTCTGTAAACTCTGCTGATGAAGCCCGCTGTGTGCTTTATTCAGTCATCAGAGGTGATTCTTTGCAGTTGTTTAGCCAGAAAAACAAAACAAAACAAAAAACTGTAAGCTGCGTTTCCTAGACCACTGCTGGGGATGTTCCCATTATGGCTTTTTTTCTCAGTCATTGCTTCAGTAGGGTAGATGCTCTCAACCCCCTTTCTGGGACATTATAAAGTCTCGAAGAACATTTTGATTTTTTAAACTATGATCAACCAGAAAAGGAGAGAAAGAGCATTGCCCACCAACCTGCCCCCTCCGTTTGTGACCATTTGAAGAAACCTCTGCCCCTGATCCCTGCTCAGCTTAAGAAGGGGGTCTATCTTTCAGAAAGGTGGAGTGTCTTACCTTATTACCCTCTTTAACCAGGATAAACCAGACCACAGCCATTGTTATTATAATGTAATTTGCTTCTCCTCTTTAAAGATGTTTTATACCAGGGTGGGGAGGATCACTGCCTTTCCTTTCCGAGAACCTTGGCTTTACTGACTCACATCCACAGATGGGGCTTCTGAAGCAAATGCAAGGAAGCTTCTGGATCTCCTCATGGACGGGGATTTACGACACATATCACACACAAAACATGGGACTCTAGTTTCAGAACAGGAATGGGGAGAGCATGTGGTCGAACAGACAAACACATCCTCCAAATCTTATACACGATCATGGTATCTTACGTCAGACTTGAATCCATGCCACACTCTCCAGATTCAGGAAGACCTACATCTCCTGTCTCCTGTTTCCATGTCACGCCCTTGCCGGACTCTTCCCAGCTCTTTGGGAGAACAGACAGCATCACTCTGAGCATAACACAAACACCTTGCCTACAACACTGTCCCCTTTCCCTCTGTCTACCAGCGCTCTCCCTTGGAGGACTCATGAGCACCAGGGAAGACAGACTCCTACCTGTTCCCCTGGGTGTTTGCTGAGTAGGTGTCAAAGTCTACAGCATGGAAGTCCTATCCCAGGAGAAGCTGCAGGGAAAATAGACTCAAATGAGTATGAAGTCTAAGGAATTTTGGCTGCTTGTGGATAATGCAGGCATGGGCATACATATGCTGTAAAAGTCAGACAGGTAGACAGACAGACAGACACATCCCTTTGTGTGCACATACTCCAGAAGCCAACATAAGTTGTTAAGTACACTTTGGATACTGGGGTATCCAACCAAAGGGGGAAAAATCTTAATAATGCAGTTATGCTGATTAGATAATAGATACAAATAAATTATAATTTACGTTAGTAAGCAGTCGGTTGTTCCACATCGAACAGTTTGACATGAGGTGATTCAGTTTGTGAATTCTGACATAAAAATCCAGCTTATTTTAAGTATCCTCTGATACTTGTTGCGTTTAACCATTATTAAATATATGCATTGTTAGCCTTTAGAAACAGTACCTGTCCTGGGGTGCCCAGCTGGCTCAGTCAGTAGAGCCTGCAACTTTTGATCTTGGGGTCATGAGTTCGAGTCCCATGTTGGGCATGGGTTTACTTAAAAAATAACAGTAATAAAGTTAGCTTAAAAATAGTACATACCCTTGTACCTAGCACCTCTGCTTCCAAAAATTTGCCATCAGTAAGTAATGACGAATGTAGGCAAAATTTTAGCAATAAGTGAGTTCTTTACAGCACTATTTACAGTGGAGAAAAATTGGAAACCACCTAAATGTCCACCAAAGAAAACTTCAGAAAGAAATTCTTATAAGTGGCATGAGATGCAGCCACTCAAAATGATGACATGGGAGGACACAGGGTGGCATTGAGAAGTGACCCCGTGTCTTTAGGCTAAAAGCACAGGTTCCAAAGCAATACAGGCTGGCCTTTTTTTTAAAGTACGTGTATGCATACAGGTGTGCTTTTGAAAACAGGTTCGAAGAATAGATACAATAGTGTTGCTAAAACTGAAGCATGGATGATCACATCAAAGCTTATAAATTCTTAAGTTGTTCTTTTCTCCCTTGGGTATTTCTTTAACTTGTAGAGAGAAGAGGGTTAAGTATCAGTTTAAGAACCAGTGGCCCTCCTTGCCCTCCACCCTCCTTAGTGACTTTGTTGCTAGAGCAACTGAGATACTGTTAATGTGAAAAGTGCATCTCTAAGGCATGAAGTGTGGTGTGGACGTGGTTTCCTGCTGAGGAATCATGAGATGTGTCTCGTGGTGCTGATTAAGCCCTGACCCATGGCTCATAAGCAGATTCTCTCCCCTTCTTCCATCTTCAGAGCAAGCAGACCCGACAGGGCATGCTAACCACTTCCATCCCCCAGGTGGCGGTTGGTCTGTGTTCACTCAGGAATGATCCAGAACTTACCTCTGTCCTCATTCCCAGCAGAGTCCCCTCATCTAACAGGTCTTAACGCAGGGCACACAGCGTTCTCTGGCAGTCATGCTTTTCCCCAAAGACCTAAGAAGAGGAGCGGCTGCTTCAGACCGTCCTCATCCTAAATCTGCTGACACACAGTTTGGCTTTGCCCCGATGTTGCCAGGGGCTGTGCCAGTGTCTCCCGGGCTTCTCACCTCTTGGCTTTTTTTCCTCTATGCCCAGTCCCGACTGACGAGCCAGAGTGAGGCCATGGCCTTGCAGTCGATACGAAATATCCGCGGGAACTCCCACTGCGTGGACTGCGAGACCCAGAGTAAGTCTGGGCGGGGGAAGGCACACAGGAGGCGGGGCGGTCTGGTGACACCCAGGGCACAGTGGACCCATGTCAGTCCTTTGGCACATAAGGTTTATGATGTGACGTGATGACTTTTAAAGAACTGAAATACTCGTGTTTGGATTTTATTTGAACACAATACCCTGCACTCAAGCCTAGGTTTGCCTTCTGCCTCAGGCTTCCTGATGAGCAGTGGTCAGGCCAGCCAAGGGTTCGGCTGTGTGCCCAGATTCAGTGCCATATCCAGAAATTAACCTTTTGCTCCATCAGTGATCATATGCTTGTTTGCTTTTTCATAAAAATGCAGCGCAATTGTTAATTCCTGCCCAAAGATTTCTGGGGTCGGTTTTTTTAAATTTCAAAATCATATGTTCTGGATTTTGGCATCAAAGGTGTTTATTTTTTTAATGTGAAAGTTACTGTACACTAAAGCCTCTGATTGAACTGATAGACTTCATTTTGATTGCTTCGTGCCTTGGAGTGACCCAGTTTTACTTTGTGCTTCCTGCTGTCCAGCACAGAATACAAGGTTTTGACAAGAGGGAGATCCAGTTGAGACCAGGTGAAAGTCACTGTCCCCAGGCTCAAGTGTCACCTGGGAATCAGAGGCATGTGATGTGGTCCTGGCCGTCCTGGAGCCCAAGCCCAGTGGGCGAGGTAGGACCCAGAGACCACAGAACCTGCCACCATGGAGAAGGGCTGTTACAGGACACACAGCAACTCAGGCAGACTTTCTGCAGGAGTTAATGTTTCGAGGGGCACTGGAAACTCATGGGATCTGAACAGGTGGCTGGAGGGGTCATGGCATCAGGGAAGCAGTGGGACATGCACCTGCTGCTCAGGTTGGAGGCTTGTTGGAGCCAAGGAAGGTGACGATGCTAAGTGGGGAGAGGTGAGGATAATGGAGTGGGTGGAGGGTGAGGATGCTAAGTGTGTTGAAGGTAAGGATGCTAAGTGGGTTGGAGGTGATGATGCCAAGGTGGGGGAGATGAGGATGCTGGAGTGTGGGAGGTGAGGATGCTAAGTAGGTTGGAGGTGAGGATGTTAAGTTGGGGGAGGTGAGGATACTAAATGGGTTGGAGTTGAGGATGCTAAGTGGCAGGGAGGTGAGTAGGTGTAGGTGCTAAGTGGTGGGGAGGTGAGGATGCTGGAGTGGGGGTAGGTGTAGGTGCTAAGTGGTGGGGAGGTGAGGACAGTGGAGTCGGGAGTGAGGATGCTAAGTGGAGAACGTTAGAGCCTTTATCTTCATCTGTAAACACTGGGAACTCCTTTGAGTTTCAGAGCAAGAGTGAGATGAATTCTAAGCTGTGCTCGGGGAGATTGGCCTGGCTGTCCCATCTCCTGTAGATTGGAACAGAGCAGTAAAGGGAGGAGGAGGCCGCTCTCGGGGATGGTCACGTAAACAGGAGGAGGTAGGCACTAACTCAGGTTGTTAGATGAAAGGGAAGTGGGGAACCCCTCTGAGAAGCCACTGTGCTGTAGGGCAGGAACAGAAAGGGTCACCAGGCCCATGTCTGTGGTCCCCAGGGAAGAGAATGGGTCTCTTCTTCAGGTGTCTTGACAAACTTCTCTAAAGTATCTTCTTTTGTTTAAAGTTTTGAATTTTACTTTCAAAATGTATTGTGAAAGAAGTTATAAGAGAGTACTTATTAAGTGTGTAAGTGTGTTTTTATCAGAAAGTTGTTAAAGTAAGAATTTTTAAAGCTGTTAGAGCCTCCATTAGGAGAAGTATCTACAACTGTTTCCACCATACAGCCGGAGTCCCTTAGGGACGATTCCGTGGCTCACAGGCTTCGTGGTATGAGCCACACTGGAGGTCAAGAGTCCCTTCTGGGAGCAGGTAGGTTGCTCGAGTGCTGAGGTGTGGGGCCGGGGGCGTGGAGCAGTGGGGAAGGGAGACTCCTAAGCAGATATGCAGGGATGAAGGGAGCAGGGAGAGGCCAAGGGTGACAAGTCCAGAGAAAAAAGAGATCACAAGCTCCCATTCCTTAAACACTTTGTCTCCGTCAGGCCTATGCCAAACCCGCCAGTGCGCTCTCTTTCAGTTCTTATGACTGTGAATGTTGGTGCTGCGGTCAGCCCCAGTTACAGGGGAGGAGACGGGAGTCTGAAGGGGGAGTTATGTATCCAGTTCTATATCCTGGGCCACAGAAAGAGTAAGCGGAGCTCCTTGCCTCCCTGCTGTATTTTTTCAGAGAATAAGATGGGGGGACAAAGATCAAGGACACCAGAAGGGGACACTTTAGCAAAGGCTTTTTGTTTTTAAATCAAGATACCCAGTTTTGGAGAAAGTGCTGGGAAGGGCCCCACCCCACACCCACACACCGATGATGACCTGTAAAAGCTCCCTGAGCACTTTGGCAATGTACCTAACAAGCCTCAGGCAGATGGACGCCCTGCACTCCAGCTGTGTCCTCCAGGGACCAAGCCCATGCAAATGCGCAAAAGGCGTAGAAATGTAGCAGAAATGTTGCTTCACAGGTGTCCATCACTGCGCTATTGGCAGAGTAAAGAGCCAGAGCGCCCCCAATGTGCAAGACTTGAAGAACAATTCATGGTGACATCTGCTCAGTGCAGTAACATGTGCAACCTTAAAGAGTGATGGTAAAAATTAATAAAGTTATGTAAAAAAAAAATACATATTAATTGAGATGGAGAAACTTTATAATGCATTGAAAATGACAAAGAACTTAGGCAGTAAGTCAAGGACCGTAGTGAATCATTTCAGGAATTTAGGCAGAAAAGATCTGTAAGGATGCACTCCAGAACGTGGACCCCACCTCTTTCTGGAAGTGGTAGGGTGTGGTGATGTGGGTCGTCTAATTGTTGTAGAATGGGCACCTGTGTCTTAGGAAATTGGATGTTGAGTAGCCTGTATTTCAGTGTGTGCAAGTACACGCACACATTTGTCCCTGTGTCAAACATTAAATGTAAGGAGAGGCTCTGGTTTCTGGGTGTTGAAGAAACGGGGTCAAGAAGAGGTTGCTGCTTTCTACAGGGCCCCAGAGAGCCTTATTTCACCCAGGGACCTGGCTGCATCTTCCCAGGGAGGGCACAGGACACCTCTGCAGCCCCCAGCATCACAGCTAGGAGGTCATCCCTCATGCTTCTAGAGGATTCTGGCAGGAGGGGCTGGGCCTGCCAGGCCACAAACGTGGGGGATGCTTCCTTGGGTTCCAGTGGGATGGAGGCTTCCCTGCTTTGCTGCTGAAGCCAAAACACAGGAAACCGTGTCCTGCCCTCTGCCTACAGGTCCTGGGAACTGAGTCTAGTTTTTGGTCCTTCTTACTGATTAAAGGTCTTTCTCTTTTTTTTTTTTTTTTTTTTTTTTTTTGTTTTCTGGTTTTGTTTTGGTTTGGTTTGGTTTGGTTTGGTTTTTTGAGAAAGGAGATATTGGGAATAAGAAAATGACTTTTTGGAGTCCCAGATAGCTTGGTGTTCTCTGCGGAGAGAGGATCAAGTTAGGGGAGAGTGGCTGCTCTCTCGGCCACAATGGGCAGCATGCTAGTAGAACAAAGGACACACTCCTGTCCTCCATAGCGTTGCTGGGGACAGAGACGGCAGTTGGCTCCAGCACCAGCCATGAGGGAATTAGCCGATAAAGGAAGCATTCCAACCCCAAGAGGTGTTTTTCATAGAAAGTGCGTAGGTAGATTGTTCAATTAACAGAAGCAAGAGAGAGTCTTATGCATTTCTTCCACATAAATATGCACAGATAAAAAATAAGTTGACTGTGATTGAAGTGGGTGGTAGTTCCAAATATTTTCTTTCCTTGTCCTTTGTACTTGACACCTGTCTTTAAATGAGCCCATTACTGGGGCACCTGGGTGGCTCAGTGGGTTAAAGCCTCTGCCTTCGGCTCAGGTCATGGTCTCAGGGTCCTGGGATCGAGCCCCGCATCGGGTTCTCTCTGCTCAGCAGGGAGCCTGCTTCCCCCTCTCTCTCTGCCTGCCTCTCTACTTGTGATCTCTCTCTGTCAAATAAATAAATAAAATCTTAAAAAAAAAAAATGAGCCCATTACTGTTATCATTTTAAAGGGATCTTTAGAGAGGCTTGAGGGAGTCTTGAAGGTGTGGCCCCCCCATTGGCTTTCTGTCCACCTGAGAGCAGGGCCTTTTGCTTCATGGTCCTGTGTCTGGGGATCATGTGGGAGGAACCCTGGGCTCCAGGTGCCACAGACACCTCTCTGGATGATTCCACTGGCTTGTGAACACCCCCCTCCCAGTTCAGTTGTGTCCTCTTGGGGCTGGGGGGAGTAGGGCTTGACTATTTCCATGACATGTGGGATTTGGAGCTGTTGGACCCCCCCCACCCACCCTTCAGTCTTCCTGAGAATGTGCCAGACTGCCGGGAGCAGCTTGTCTACACCTGGTAAACTCCACACCAGGCTGTGAGCTTCCTTAGTTCAGGGGGCCCATCGGTGGAGGGAGGCAGTGCTGCAGTGAGTTTGGAGAACTGTAGGAGCTGTCCCTCGAGGAGCTGCAGCCTTCAGCCATCCGTGCTTCTGGGAAGTCCTACCATAAAGATAAGGAACATGGCCCAGACCGATCAGACGGTGGGAGTCTTTGTTCAGGGAACCTGCTGCCAACTCTCCACCAGGAACATGTTCGGGAAAGTCCATCCTCCAGAGCCCTTGGGAACCCAAGAGCTTAGAGCCCTGGCATGGTGGTTGCCACTAGGCCTGACCTGCATGGACAGACCCGTAGAGGCGTTGCAGCCTTTCCACCGCTCCAAGACCCCTTGTCCATGATGATGCCCTCCTACTCTTCCTGGGCAGAGCTGATCCCTCTCTCCTGGCTGGTCCCCGCTGCCCTGGATGGAAATTAGGGGCGTGAACTCCTCCTGCCATGTTGTAGTGATGTTGGGAGCAGCTTTGCCGGTGTCCCACTGGACGTCTGGGACCCTGTCTTATGTATCTTTATGGACCCCGGACCTGCACACAGTAGGGGACTCTACTCCCCTCTCCCTTCCCCAGTCTCTAGACGTCCCAGCAAAACCCGTAGTGGGGGCACAGCCTCTCACTTCCTTTCTTGCTTTTTCCAATAGGCATAAAAAGAAACTGCAGATTATATAACTATATATTTTTAAATTACAAACAAATTATGCAGTTATATCTGTAAAGACATCCTTGGGGCTTTGCCCACATGTTCCCTCAGAGAAGCCTTCCCCAACCACCACTGGGTTGAAATGACACACGTGGGTCCATCTCACTCTTTCCCTAGCCGGGTTTTCTCATAACACACACTTCCCTGACACCTGGTATGTTTTTCCTGTCTGTTCCCTGTTGGTCTGCCCCATGGAATCGAAGCCCTTCGCTTAACCGTCAGGACAGGCCTCACGGGGAATGAGCATCATTAGCCTCGTTTCCCAAGCGAGGCCTACAGCGCAGAAGACACTTCAAGGGGCAGGTGGGCAGGAGGGTTTGTGCCGCCAGGCTGGTGGGGTCACTGCCCTGAGACACTGGAGATAATCCAGAGCTTTAATGCCATGCTGGACTCGCCTGTAGGCCTGATGTGGCAGCCCAAGCTGCAGCGCCCCGAGGCATCCTGGTGGGAGTGAGGTGTGTGATTCAGCAGTGTCCCTGGCAATGTGGGGATGCTGACAGCTGTCAACACCTTCTCACCTATTGGGGCAGAGGTGAGGCTATCCCCCCCCACCCCCTGCAGCCCAGTGGCCATGTCCCTGTAGCCACTGGTCTTCCTGAGGTGATGGAAGGTCACAGCAATGCTTCACCTCCCCACACCAGCTCCCACCGGCCGCTCTCAGTATTTCTGATTTCCATGGAGATCTGCATGCAGTCTTTGAAATGTGCCCTGTGTGTGCCATCCTCCTCCAGGTGATACCGCACCAGGCTGGTCTCGGAAGCTTGGAGGGGGAGGGGCTAAGGCGGCACTATATGGAGTTCCAAACCAGGGGTTGGGGTCATTGGGGTCCTATGCCCATGGGGTAACTTAGAATGGTTGCAGAGGTGGGTGAGCTTGGCGCCTACTAGGGGATCTTTCCACAGTCCAATTGAGTGGCACAGGGGCAGCGGGGACAGCATGTAGAGCTTTCACCTGCTGTGCACCATGATGGGTGGGGTGGACACCTGGGCCTCGTGGCATCCTAGTGCGTGGGCCCCACCTCCCGCCAGCCCTGGGGAGGGGGCCTCTGCTCTAGTTGGGCCATTCCTTCCTTTGCCTGAAACTGGCTCCCTGAGGCAGGCTCTGCGGAGTCGTGAACGCGAAGAGTTTGGTGCCCCTGGCTTTGCCCGACACAGGGTGGGTTTTGCAACATGAGGCACATGTGTGTGAAGGTCTCCCGGGAGCAGCTGAAAGGCTCCCATGAGGAAGCGAGCTGTGTGCTGAGGCCAGCAGGAAGAGACGGTGGCCAAGCAGAGGGGCGCAGTGTGTGGGGGTCAGGGAACTGAAGGGCTCCTGAGAGACACACGCACAAAGACAGCCTCACTTCTGATCCTGCTGGTCGGGATTGTGGGTCGGATCCAAAGGCCAGAAGGCCAGTTGAGAAGGGGCAGGATATGGTCAGATGCACCGAGGAGGCCACAGGCCAACATGTAGAACACAGGCTGTGGGGCATTGGAAGGCAAGACTCCAGATGGGAGGCCGCTGCGTCCTGGTGGTGATGGTGGCATGCACCAGGGCGGGAGCAGTGGAGACAAGGAGGAGATGAACATCAAGACTGAAGTACTTGGTGATGGGCTGGGGGGTGATGGAAGGATCAGGCTCGATTCCCAGAATTCCAGCTTGAATAACTGGATGAATCTGTGCCATTGGCTGGGATGGAGCTGTCCTTTGGAGGAGACGATGTTCAAGGGCAAAATGTCGATGGGGAGGTACTTGCAAGATTTCCAAGTGCAAATGTATGGTGGGCATTACAGGTTCTATTAGAGAGAGAAGCATATCCATGTTCACTCCTGAGGTGGGCGGTGTCTGTGGATAGTTGTTAGCAGTTGGATCGTACTGGGATCCACAGGTTAGGTAGAGTTTGCTTGGAAGAGCGTGTAGAATCAAGAAATGAGCCTGCAGAGCCCCCTGAAATAAGGGACAGGTTCAGGAGGAAGAATTGGGAAGGAAATCAAGTTGGGGAGCCAGACAGGTGCTAGAAAAATCCAGAGATGGCATTGACCAAAAAGCCGTCTAAAGGCAGTGTTATAAGAAGAAGTTTCCAGAGGTCAAGTAAAGTGATGGCTGAACACCATCCTGATCTTGCCCGTCCTGATGACACTGGCTGCCCGGCTCCAAGGGGAAGTTGGGGGTGGGGGGCCAGGCTGGGATTGAGAGGTACAGACTCAGAGGTGGCCAGTACAGGAGTTGGGCTATGAAGGAGCACAGCGGGGGTGTTCCGCAAACTGTTCACCACCCCACCCTCTTCTCTCACCACCCCACAAGGCCCAGGCCAGCCCTCCACCGTGTAGCCTATCCTCCAGCAACTGCTACGGCTGACCTCTTCCTTCCATGCCGCCTGTGCATTTATTCCTCCAACTCTACTCTTCAGCGTATAGTTTGCATTTCCTTATTACGTTTATTTTATTATTATTATTTGGGACATATGTCTCCTTTTCCCAGCCAGAACATCTCTGAGGCACAGACCTCTCTTCTCCTGTATCCCCCCATGGTATCCATCCCCACCTCCCAGCATTTGTATTAGATATGAAAGAAATGGCTGGCTGATTTCTGATGAAAGTAGCACAAGGCCATTCCTGGTTTTTTGTTGACTCAGGTGTACCTGGAGTAAATCTTGATTGTCCCTGGATGATTTAAGCCTTCCTTGCATCTGTTGGTAGTTAAAGCCATTGACTGTCCTGATGAGGCCTGTCTTCACAAATCAGCTGCAGATTCCAGCACAAAGCCAACCTTGGGCTTGAGTCCAACATCTTCAGAGCTGCCAGCCACTTTCACACAGGGAATGATCCAGCTCAAGGGATCCGGTGGTGTTCTCTGAACTCATTTGTTCTCCTTGGTGTGTTATCACAGCCTAAAGCATCACCATTCATTCTGCAGGTCAGGGTTGATCCAGCTGGGTCATGACCTAACCAGCGGACCCTGCCCGCCATCTTGCCAGCCGTGATAAATTCTTCCAATGGTTGCCCTTATGTAAGATCACTGAAAACCATGTCTTCATGGTAGCATGCCTGCCTTTGTCTTTGAAAGTTGCAAACATGTCCATCATATGACTAATGAAAACTCGGATGTGCCTAGAGTTGCAGGAATGGCTGGTTACGAAGGACACTGTAGCTTTGGAAGTCCTCTTGAGCATTCCCTCACTCTCCCTCTGTGAGCAGCCGTCCCCCGTGGATGCCAGGTCACATACAGTTATTTCCCATGTGCATTGGTGCTCTCGAGGGGGTTGCTCTGGAGGTGTTAGAACGTACATCTCTGTGTCCAACCCAGTGCCTTCACCTGTTCATCATGTGGGAAATCCTACACTTTGGCTGAAGCTAGGTTTTTTTTAAAGGCATCCCCAACATGTCAAACCTTTCAAAATGCCTGAATCAGCATGGAGGACTGGCATGGGCCCCATGATTCTAGGGAGGGATGTGAACATCCCTTCACACCGGATGTGAAGTCCGGTAACAGGCCTTTTTGTTCCTGAGATGCTGAGGGCAGTTGGAATGAGTGATGATGGTCTGATGGTCCTCTTCCCACAGATCCTAACTGGGCCAGTTTGAACTTGGGAGCCCTCATGTGCATCGAGTGCTCAGGGATCCACCGGAACCTGGGCACCCACCTTTCTCGAGTCCGGTCTCTGGACCTCGACGACTGGCCCATCGAGCTTATTAAGGTGATGTCATCCATTGGGAACGAGCTGGCCAACAGCGTCTGGGAAGAGAGCAGCCAGGGGCGGACGAAGCCCTCACTGGACTCCACAAGGTAGGGACATGGGCAGCTGTGTGGCTCTGGGTCCTTCTGCCAGCAGTTCAGCCTCGGGAAGTGACCTTCATGACAGCCCCCCAACAGCCACCCTGGCGACCTGTAGGAATGCTGAGGGGCCGGGCCACGGAAATGTCTGTTTTTAAAATTGGTTTTCAGCAGGCATGGATAATTCAGACTCCTTAATTTTTTATGTTTGTTTTTAGACCTTGGGGATTCCTCTCCCCCTCTTAGAAATGTATTAAGCTTCCAACCTTATGAATATATCACTTTAATTAATACATTTCTAATAGGAGTAAGCTGTGCTGTGAACACTAATTATGAATTTTTGATTCTTTAATTTTGTGATTCTTCTGTCTTTGATAAGCATCTCCTCAGTTGGTTTCCCTCCCCACCCCCACAGACCCACAGCAAGCCAGTTTACAGTAACACAATATATTTTATTTTCTAAAATATATTTCCAACACAGTTAATCAGCCAAGTATGGCGTAACGTATGGTGACTCCTCATTAACGTTAATTGTTACCCAGTGTAAAAAACGCATTTATTTTGAGCCCATTTATTTTCTCATTTTTCATTTACAGCTATTATAAACCGTTTTTGAGTACACATACATATTTAATGTACCTAAGAGGTGATAAAATGGCATGTCTTCCAAGAAAGCCTGCTTCACGGAGGCAGAGTGGGCCATCGGGTCCCTGCAGCTGCCCCCAGGAGGAGGCGCTCATGGTCGCATCCCCCACTTCCTGGGGGTGGGGGGTGGCAGTACTCACTTTACGCTTTTACTTCTCCTGTGTGTGTGTGTGTGTGTGTGTGTGTGTGTGGAGAGGTGAAGGGAGAGAAGGTCATTAGCACTTTTTAAATTCCTCTGGCTTGTTTTGCTGGTGATGAGACAGCGTGAGAGTCCACACAGCCATCTGCGGTCGGGCCCCACGTGATGCCTAAGAAGTCGGTTTCGTCCACTAAGCCATGATCCTTTGCGAGGAGTCGGTGGATTTTTTTTCATGAATGCTGAAAAATGAATTTGTGGTGCCACCTTCGGTTCACTTTAGAGAATGAAGTTGGTGTGTTAGGAACCTACTCTTCTCGTACAGTGTCCTGTGGGGCAGGGGCAAGGGGAGCAGGAGCGCCCAGAGCCAGCCTGGCATCGCCTCCATTTGCTGGGTGAGCTCGACCACGCAGTACCCATGTAGGCAGCTTTTCTGCAAACTGAAGGAACAATAGGCTCCTTTAAACTCTTGATCTTGATCAAGAACATAGGAATTAACCATCAGTGAGGAGCATTCTTAAAAGACGAATTTGCGTATTAATATCTGTTTTTTCATAGATGTAGTTTCCTCGGAGGACATGTAGGCCTAACAATGAAATAAGATTAGAAATTGGATCAAGTTTCATGTAGGAGTGCAGAGAACTTTGAAATTGTTAGGAAAAACAATTACTCCTGCATCTTACTGTTTTATGTGTAAAAGAAGCATATATATTATTTTTATTTTCCAGAATTGGGCAAAAGTTTGTTTTTCCATCTGTCATAATTAGCCACCATTTAGAGTGTTTAGGCAACCAAGACAGGTGTTGATATTTTTAACTGGTAAATATTTTATAAGAATCTCATCTTCATTCCTAAGTGAGGGTTTTGTACGTGCAGGCACTTGACTCTTCTAACCTGTGTATTTGATCTGAGCTCTTGAGTGCATGACTTTCTCTTCTCTCCAGCATTATCAGGGGCTTCCTTTCCCACAAATGGGGTGATCACAGTGAAGTCCCAGCTCTCCGTGGGTCCCATTCGCTGTCCTAAGGGGCTGTCCCAAGTGGCAGTGCTTCCCCCTCCCCCCCACCCCACCACCACCCCTCGCAAAGGCTGTGGTGACAGTGATGCTGGGTTACACGGCAGTTCCAAAGAACATGAACCTCTTTGAGAACTGAATGTTTCCTTGTGCCTTAGTTATTCTGTCTGGCAGTTTCGTTTTTAAATTAATATTCAGCAAATAGTCACTGAGCACTTTCTCATAGAAAAGAAGTGATACGTGGTGATTATTGCCCCACAGCGATTGATGAATGTTGATGAATGTTCTCGGGGCCACAGCTGAGGGTGCCGGGACTCTGGAGAATTCACGCATGGGAAGTTCTTAAAACCACTGTGCTCCGGGGAGGTGTCACTGGCCAAACAATGTCTGAGCTGGACTTGAAAATGTGGGGCAATGTCTAGGCCTGGGTAGTGTGGCGTGCAGGGGTGGGCGTGGCCCAGGCCAAGTCCGGCCCACAGGAGAGTGTAGAAACTGGGGAATCACCAGCCATGGGGTGGGACCTCCAGGTAAATGAGGAGGGGTAGGAGCTGGTAAGGCCAAAAGAGAGCAAAGGCCTGGCTGAGCCTTTGAGCCAGGGGTGTATTATAACAGTGACTCTGGGGTTTGTGTGTTCACTTGTGATCTGCCTGTTCCCAAGAGGACTAGAGGCAGCCAGCGGCATTGCTGGAAGGGATAAGATGAGGCAGGGAGGCCCATTGGAAGGCTGTGGTCCTGGTGGATCCTCTGAAAGCCATAAATGCTCTGTCAAAAATATAAAGAAGCAACTCAGCTTAATAGCACAGCAGTAATTCAGACACCCACCATCTTCACTACCTCATGCAGTGTCCTCGAACAGAAATAAAGAACTCCAAAGTTTGGGCTAGAATTTCCATGTGGAATTCAGTCTGCAACGTGAGAATGGACAGGCAGCCTGGATCCTGCCTGTCTGAGACAGGGACAGATGCCCCCCTCCCAACCACTCCCTCTGGTCTCTCTGCAGAATCTAGGATTGTTAGTACAAACAGCTGGAGGGGTCTTTTAATGTGGCCCTAAGGTAATACTAAAAAGAAATATTTTAATAAATTTTTATTTCTATCCAAGGAAGGGCCAAGTGCAATATATCCAGGCTAATTCTTTGGAAAGGGGCCCAGCTGTTTTCCCGAGAAGCTCAGTCCGTTCCATCTTGTGCAGGAGATTCATTCTGACAGTGGAATATAATTAGAAATGTACCGTTCCTCCCCCAAACACACACACACAACCATGGAGAGGTTCAACACAGCGATCCTCCTCCAAAGAAACATCCAGTCTCCTGAAACCACCTCTCATTGGTGTCACCCAGGCCCGCGGGTGAGTTAGGAAAACAGGCGCCTTTGACCAGCCGGCTGGCCTTCTGCTTGTTGTCCCTGCGCCCCTGATTAGGGCAGCTTCGGACGGCTCATAATTGGTTCCAGTGATTCTCAGCTGCCCTGAGAACTGCCGTTCAAACTTGAGCAGCGTCATGATCAATCGAAGCTGACGGCAGTGAAGCAGTATTGACTTCCCATTCCTAAACCGGGGAATCATTAGTCAAGAAAAGCATCTTTTAATTACTCCCAGGAAGAAAAAAAAATCTTTTTGGATGGATTCTGCAACAACTGCCATTTTTTTCCAGTGCATTCGATATTAAATTTATTGTCGCAGGAGGGGAGAGGATGCCCTTCATCCCCCGTCAGTGATGGAGGTTTAATTCAGAGAAAGGAGCCCGGTAGAGGATATCGATGGTACAACAGTTAACTACAGCTGGGGTGGAATCAGAATCCCCCTCTCTAATTGCTATTGATGCCATTTAAGCACACACTTAAAATATTGATTTTAAATGGGCATGCTGAAGCAGGAGAGCTGTGGTGACAGCGGACGGGATTTGCTAGATCCTAGGGGCTAACGCAGGGGCAGTGGGCTGTGTGTGGGGGTGGGGGGGGCGAGGGCTTCATGATACATAGCACATGAGTGTGCAGGGGCTTCATGACACGTAGCGCACGAGTGTGTGGGTCGCTCCGTGCAGTGTCTTGTGTGCACTTGGACGTGGGGCCTGGAGCAACCAGGCAGGGCCCTGGCTCCCACATTAGGACACGTGGAACCGTCAGGCCAAGTCCCCGAGCTCGCTGTGGCCCCTTTCACATCAAGGAGTAGTGCACTCAGAAGCAGAGACAGCCAAACTGTGAAGAGTATGTTTCTTGAGCGAATGAACGAATGAGCGAGCGGATGGGGGGACACGGGAATGGGGCCGCGTGGAACCCACATGCCAGGTGCTCCTGCTGCCTCAGGGCCAGGGGTTGCTCGCTTGTTCATGCATGAAATCGGGGCTGCGCATTTGCAGCACACCGTGAAGTTGTCTGGGCAAACCTCAGATCTCTTTCCCTCCTCGGCCCCGTGGGGGTGTTTGGAGGGCTACTCTCTGTGTCACTGTGGTGCATTGTTCTCCATTCCTGTCGCTGTTTCACTTTGGAATGTTTTAGGATTGCCTGTGGTGACCCTAATTTCCTCCCAGGACCGAGTGGAGCCCTCTGGTCCGTGTTCCTCTTGGCAGAAGCCAGACCGTACTCGGCCACCTACTTCGTCTTCCCCTCTCCCAACTTTAGGTCTCCATGTATAGGCCTCGGGTCCATAAGGGTCTGCAGGGATCCCTCGCGGCTGGCGTTTCAGGGCAGGTAGCCTATTTACACGGTGGTCTGGGAGCCAGCCGATTTGGTCTCAGAAATCAAAGGAGCCTGGACGTGTGTTTTCTATTCTGTCAAAGAGCCCTTGGGAGGAGCTCTAAACCCTACCGAAATCCCCCTTCCTTCTGATCCCACTTGGAAGGGAGCCGAGTTGCTGATTTAGGATACACTCTTCTGCCTCTTTGAGCGTTCTTTTTCTTTCTGTCATTGTCACCTGCACATCCAAACTCCCCTCTTGTCTTTAACCTATAAAAAGATGCCACCTTCGGGAGGAAGATTTGGGGCCGGACGTCAGAAATCTGCGTGGGAGAGACTGGCCGCGCACTTCCAGATGGAGCAAGTCTGCCCAGTGACACGAGTTCCGGTCCTTTTTGATTCGGGATCGCCACTTTCATCTTATTTATGCACATGGAGATATTGATAAAGGGGAAATGTATCCAAACTGAAAATAATTGGATCCCTACCGTTAACTCTGAGATATTAAAAGCAGTACCACTTGGCCACGTCTTTGTCTCGTTAG